AATTATATTTCATGGAAAACATGCATAAAAATATTCATATAAATAAATATTACTTATTCGGTAGAAAATCACGTCTTCTTCCAATTTTATACTCAAAAGAAGAGTATAATTCGGTTTTAAAAAAGTTTCTAAATGTGAGATTTTTTAATACCGTTAAATGGCCGTTTATGAAACGTCATGTATCTGAATTTACGAATGTGGCTTGTAAAGTTAACAATATTGCTCAAATCCACTGCTTAATTTTATGAACCTCATATGGTCTCCTCTTAACACCGTAGAGAAATGCATGGTTTTCCGTGCACGGAAAATATACAGCTTGTAGTTTTGAAACCCTAAATGCAAGTGTAACAGCAGGTCGGGTTCAAAATTATTCGGGAATTAGAAAAGTTTTTTTAAAACCGAATTATACTCTTCTTCTGAGTATAAAATTGGAAGAAGACGTGATTTTCTACCGAATAAGTAATATTTATTTATATGAATATTTTTATGCATGTTTTCCGTGAAATATAATTGAATTTTCAAGGGCATCGAAGATCAATGAAAAAATTGCATACTGCTTAAGTAGTCATTTTTTGCAGAGTATAGATCTTGCATGTAGCCGAAAATAAGCTATTTCAAAAGCCGACACCCTGTGGTAACTGGATCATTATAGATTTATGCTGCATCATGATTAGTTTTACAGCACTACTTAATTGATCTTTTCAAACCAAGAACGCATTTCGAAATTTTGGTTGACATTTCATGAGTTAGCACATCTACTGTAGTGTTACTTCGAAAATGGCAGGCTCATGTTCCGTTTCTTTGTCTGGGCAAGTTTGCATGTCTATGGCGGTTGGAGAAAATGCTCGCCCAAGATGTCGGCGAGGTTTGGTTCTGCAGGCCCACTTCATTTCTACCATATGATCAGCTTCCTAAAACACTTTTAGCAGATGCGAGTACGCTGACTGTACAAATATCACGTGTTTGCACCTTCCTTGCCATTTTCATCCAGCCGGTGACCGTGCCACGGGGGGAGGAGTGCTTATTCGCCATCCTCGTTTTCATCAGGTATCAGTTCGCACCTTCCCCCCTGCGCGTGCTTCGAGCCTCGCTTGCGCCCTCTTTATTATACTAATCCAGCGAAGGACTAAGTGGGCTTGATAGCTGAATTGTAAGGATAGATTGGAACTCCGTCGGTTCCATTACAATAACCATGCAGTGTGAATTACCCCGCGGTACTCTCCGTGGCCTTCCAGTTGTGATTGCACTTCCCTTATCCTACTAATCCAGCGGATGGCTGTGTCGCAGGGAGAGTGCGAGCACGCTACCTTCACGCGCTTCCCTGCGCTCGCTTCGAGTTCTGCTTATGCTCCCTTTCCCTCCCTAACTCAGCGGGTGATTAAATTAGGTATGTTAACCAAAACTGTTCTAGGAAGCTAACCATATGGTAACAATGAAGTGGGGCTGCAGAACCAAACCTCGCCCAAATGTATGAACCAGTAGACCCAAACTCTGGGATCTAGCCGTGCGCATTGGATCCTGAAACTCAACTGTGCATGGCATACTTTACGGCCATTTGCTCATTCTATCCCCAGCGAAAAAGCCGAATCTTCTTGTAAGTGCACCTTATATTCTACGCTGTTCAGAAATATCGCATGTTTATTTTGATGCATTTTGGTGCCCAATTTATTGGTTTACATGCGACCTCTATAGCCTCTGAATTCTGCGTTTGTGTGGCTATAATGCTCTGTTGGCTATTTGATCCATCACAAATTTACCGAATTAGTACAATTATTCATCACATTACTAAGATAACTGTACATTCCATGCTTATACACGAGACCTGCAGACAACACAGTACCTTATGATCGCTCATCTCCCGTTGTCGAATCATTTACTTAAAACCTGCACTAACAACCGAGGATTACAGGAGGCAGTCTTTAGCTGAGCACAGGAACGTGAATCCCTATACCACAGGTGCCTTGCCCTAAGTTTAAGGTGACTTCAGTGACTCATAGTCTTTTTAGTCAAACCGGTTACACAGCATAACCTTGCTTCCATTAATATTCTGTTTTGGCGTTGATATTTATGGTTGGTCAGACATCCTCCACGGCATTCCACATTAAGGATTATCGTAAGAGATCCATTTTTCATCACTGGTCACGATCCGATGTAAAAATGAAGGTCTTGAAGTTCATGTTTCACACGTGGTTTTATGCTTTTCTTATTGTCCTTCAGCCAATCGATTCGGCACCAAATGTCCTTCTTTTTGCGTCATTTCGAATGCATCTAAACATTTGGCAACAGTGGATCTATCAAACCTTAATTCCTCTGACATTTTTAAGCGTATGGCATGGACCGTGGTCGACTAACGTTTCTCATTTTTTATCTTCAAATATTTCCTGTTGTCCTGAATAGTTCTTAGCCTCTACTTCAAAATAACACTTTTAAGGCGTTCAAACTATTTCCTGCATGTTCTTTCAGAGAGAGAATGTTCAACACAAGCTTTCTCATGTAAACGATTATATTTACCAACACATTTTTTCCAAATGAAAGCAAAAAAGCGATGCTTCCTGCAAGCACTTCTTGGCGCAAAATTTTCCATCTTCCCTACAATAAAAATCATTAGTGTTAACGATTCAACCAAATACCAACAACTAGATATGACAGATTTATTCAAATGCCTTGTATTATCTGTACTACCGTTTTTAGTTACCTGAAGACAATACCTTTCAAAATATTTAAAGCAAAGTGGCACACACTAGATCTCCTATTTACTAAACTGTTCCTCACATCCTCGACATAAATTCCATAATTTCGTAGTTGGTGCCGATGATTGGCTTGATGGTTGCTGAATCAGTCCACGCATTAGTATTGTCTTCGAACAGGGTAATATGTGAGGAGAGAGAAAAGAAGAAGAATAGGAAGAAGAAGCAGAAGAAGTGCTCGCCGGAACAAGACTTTTACTAGCCTAATGTTTCGGACTCTTCTCGACTGCTTTCTGGGGCCCATCCTTTCGTTTTTATCTGGACCCCATGTACTGACATTCCCGATGGACCCGTGTAAGATTACGGAAGCTCAGGAAATGTTCTATGCTCAGTCAATCTCCTACTTCCCTAGTCGTACGTATACTTGGGACTCAATTATTCCTATACATTCTTGAAAAATTCGGGCGCGATGAGCCTCGGACAGCTCGCAACTGAGAATTCGCCCCCACACTAACAGAAACAGCATACGAACAGTCATGTTCCCTGCATTGGTGCATCTAGGTCGGCCGACCTCATGACATCAAGATACAAGTCTCCCGGTGAACATAGTAGTGGGAAGAGCAGTAGGGAGGCGGTTTATCAAGCTGATAACGAGGATCCTGATCAGCGATTGTCACCGACGTCTGCAGGAAGACAAGACTATGATAAGGCAGAATAGAAGGGATTCTATCCATATAGTCGGTGATTCTGTGACCGATCACCTCGGGCAGACGAGCTCTGCTTCGGCACATCAAAGAGAAGATAAGAAGATAACGAGTCTGGAACGTAAATTGAAAAAATAGTCAAAAGCGGCGAACAAGGGAGCGCAGAACTGGTCCACAACCATTCTTTTAAACACTAACTACGACATGGGACAACTAACAACTAGCCGATAGACTTCATTGCAGCCCTAAAATCTATGTTGGTGAGAAACAACGCAGTTGACGACAAAAATACTCCGCCCGGCAACAATTAGCCCGCTTTTTTGTTACGCAGAAAACAACTCAGTTCACTTCGCGGAATGAGTCAAAACCTGTGTGGAAACTGAGTAAGAGTGGGAAACTTATCCTCTTGTCCCTGATAATGAGCGGACAGCGGTTGTAATGAATCTGGCAGGTTGTGACGAGGAAGTTAGGGCTCTTTTTGCGGCGGTGGGGTTTTACAGGCCAGTAAGGTCCTTCAAAGACCTAAACAACGGCAGGCCGGTTAAAAAAATACTTGGAGAAATTCGACTTAAAGGTGTGATCACCGACAGTGGATGATGCTAACTGAAACTCAAAAACACTGCTCTAGCCGGATTTTATATTCTGCCGCTGATCTGAAGACCAGACACGGCACGACAGTCAGTTGTCGCCCTAACAGACGACCCCATTAATAATTTGGCAGTGGGTATAGCCGTAAATGAAATTTCTCCGAGAGCATTGCTGCGTGACTGGGTGTAGGAATTGCGCCGGGCCAATACTGCCGTACGCAATCGGGCTATGGGCATTTATTAAGCATGTGCCGAGGCACCAAACTACCTTGCATTTACCTACCTGTTTATCATTCTTAAACTTACTGTTTGTTTAGCTGGATAGAGAGAACTCGGCTCAACGCGAGGTGCATGGCATGAGGTCGCTTGACATTAAATAGTTATTTTTTTCACAACTCTCTTATCCGGATATCTATAGTCTGGGACTGGCAATCATGTGCTTCACGTTCACACCAGTGGTGACCCTTTCGACGTTCGTGCCTACGCCTTTAATCTGTCGACTTAGATTTGCCGCTTGTATATAGTCCGTCCTCCTTGATTCTGTCTACCGCCATGCCCTCTACGGATTCTAACGATGTCGCTACTTCTCTAAATTTGTTTTCTCCGTCCCGGATTTTTCGCAAGTTATTCCGGAACTTTACTTCTCCCGTATTGAGGCAACATTTCACTCTGCAAAGGTAACACGAGAAACCGAAAAGTATTATCAGTTGGTCAAGGTTCTTTCTCCTACCATTATTTCCGAAGTGCAGGCATTTTGTGTGATCCCCTGACTGATGCTCCCTATACGAAGCTAAAGGCTGGACTTCTTCGCCTGAACTCGGTCTCGGATCGCCAGCATTATCACGCTATAGTAAAAGAAGAGGCCTTAGGTGATCGCAAGCCGTCGAAATACCTGCATTGTATGCGTTCTCTTGTTGTGAACCTGGCCATTGACGATAGGTCAACCGATAAGTCTGCTGACGTCGGTGCAAACAATTTTGGCCTCCGACTCAGATGACTTAGGCATCTCAGAGTTAGCGGAAATGGCTGATCGTCTGATGGAGGTTGAGCGTTTATCATCCACGACGGCCGCTCAGATTTCACAGCTTCTCACTGCTTCCACATCTGGCCTGGCCGAGCTCAAGACACAGATTTCCCAATTGTCAGGGACTGTTGCTGCTTTACAGCTGTGCCGATCTGCCGGCATATCTCGACGTTCCTTTAGCCGTGATCGTCGTCGTCACCGCTCTCGCCCCAGGACCGCAAACCTATGTTGGTATCATGTAAACTTTGGCGATAAGGCACGCCACTGTGTCCCGCCCTGCTCCTTCAAGTCCTCGCAGGTAAACTCCCTGGCCGAAGAGTAAATGCGGCCGAGCTCTCTGGCAACTCTACCGACTTCAAATCTTGCATCTGTGATAACGCGAGTGGCAGACGTTTCTTAATCGACACTGACACCGCCTTCGGCATTTTATGCGGATACTTTCTCCGGTTCCGCCCAGCTCCTCCGCCTCTCCGTCTTATCTCGAGGACTCCGCAACGTGCTCTCATGTCTACCTCCATGTGATCGAGTCCTCTGGTCTCTGGAACCGCCCTATGACGGCCCATTCCGGGTCCTCTCTCAAGCGACGAAGACGTTTCGCATTCAACTCGCCAATCGTGAGGAGGTCGTGAGTGTGGACCGCCTCAAATCATCTGTACCGAACTTTCCGTCGGACTAGCCCTGTGGTCCCCTACCCTCTGCCCCACCACCTCCTCCAACCTCTATTCCACCGTCCCGTATTTGCACTCTTCCTCCCTGTCTGCTACCTCCAACTGCCACCTCTAACTTCAACAATTCTGCCACTGGACGTATCCACGCATCTACGGACCCTGTATGTATCACTCGCAGTGGTCGTCGTCACTTTCCCGATCGGGTGCTCAGCCATTTTTTTAGACTTGTACACATCCTTCGGTGTCGTTCTCGCTGCCCCCAGCCTCAGAGGAGGGTACTGTGCCGAATGGCTAGACTATCTTGCATTCACCTACCTGTTACCATTCTTGAACTTGCCGTTTGCTGATCTGAATGGAAGAAACTCGGCGCAGTTCGAAGCGCGTGGCATGTGTTGGACTATCAGGTCGTTTCACATTATATTGCTAATTCTTTCATAACTCCTGTCTTGTCCTGATATCCATAGTCTGGCATTGGAAATCGTGTCCTTCACGTTTACAACAAGCAGTCTGACAAAGCTTATCCTGCTCCACTCATAAACCGCCTTTTTAATGGCACAGCTCAGACCGAAAATGATCTCGGATTGCAAATACAGAAACACAGGCCAGCTATGCAGTGAGGTGACGAATTGTCACTCTAAAAACGGACCTTGTTTCTATCTTCGCAGCCACCGAGACACTGACCCGTTGTCTGGAACCCAGGCTTCTGATGAGCTTACTCGGCAGACATACTGATCATGCACTCGCATCCATAATTCTGCACGGTTATCGCCAGACCTGCTCTACTGGATGCTAGTTGGTTACAGACCCCCATAACTAGCACTTGTTCCGTTGTTGCTGTCATTTCTGTACATGAACTCCTTTAAGATTTCGAAAACTCAGAAGACTGCGCGTATAGATCCGACGTTTAATCAGCATCCTTCTTCTTTTTCTTCCCCAGGACTCGTGAGTGCGGCTGGAATATTCGTCGCCACACATTTAGAGAACATTCTAACGCGACTTGTATAGCGTCTAGTTCACGACGGAGTTGCTTGAGAACTACTAACTGTCCCCATCAGACGTCGTCGTCTGTTTCGAAGCTCGTGGTGACAGAGAAACCTGAGTCTTTGTCAAAAGCGCACATACAACACATGTGCGAACCGCCACAAAAAACATCTGATCAATCACAATTGTCTGTTGCATGAGTGAGATCCATCGGCACGTTTGGATAAATTGCAGTGAGCCGGAAGACGGGGCCGCCGAAATGCAAAAGTACTCACGGTTGACCAGAGCGGATGATTGCCCCCATGCACTTCACCAGTCGATAAAATGAAGGATCAAATCGTCTCGTACTCAAATTTTGACGAGAGCTCGCGTACGTCTGGAAAGTTAGACATCCTCCCACAGTCTCTTCTCTGAACTCGCGGTCGGAATTGCTCACAAATCAGATGCAACCTTCAGGCGCGGTCCAGGGATCGTCTGCCATGGCAAGAAACTTTTGGAGTGACTTATCGGATCTGGTTCAGTGGCCGGAAGGGCACCTAAGTCGAATGAACAAGAAGGTCACTCTGAACGCGAATGGCTGAAGGCACGTGGGCAGTGGGGAGGGGTGACCTCGAATCTCAAGTCGCACCTTATTTGACGGAACCCAACCACATTTCAAACTGCGACGGGACGCAATTTCACCCCAGAAATAAAAAACGCCTTTTGATTCATTGTTTCTCAGCCAGCAGTCCATTGACAAACTTCATGAGTTCACTCCCCAACCATTAATCATCGTTCCGACTGTCTGACAGAAAATATAGTTACGCACTTTTGGTGACAGTACTGATGAGTATAATTTCGAATGATTAGCATGTAAGTCACCACAACACAAGTAGTGAAGTTGCAGCCATAGAAAACTTGATGCAGGGTACTGGTTGATTATCAAATCAAAGGCGAATATTTGCCATTTATAAGGGAACTGCTTCCTGAAACCTGAATTCCACGCGAATGATAGTATAATAAGGGCCATGTCAGAAAGGAACCTCGCAGACTTGAGTATGGCCGGACAACTAAGTCATTTAGAAACCTCCCATGACTCAACTGGTGGCCCATCGTGAGAATTCACAAGTGCGTTTGATTGTTTACAATGAGGGAACTATACTCTGGATCCGAGCTGGAACGACCACACTCCCACTCCTCTCCTCTACCGCCGGTAAGTCCGATCCAAGCTAGCTGGAAAAGAGGCTGAGCCTAATGGCTGAAGTGACTCGAAGTTTCCGTCCAACAATCGCCATGCGTGGCCTTGGATCTCAGACATTCGGTTGCCCAAAATGAGAGACCCTACTTGTCTGGTTAGGTCGCCCAAGGTACTTCAAATGTAAGTCTGTCTGCCAAACTGGGGGTCACGGTGAATAACTAGACCTATAGCGGAGTCCGCCCAAGCTAACGGCTTGATACTTTATTCTCTCCACTGCTATACGGCAGGGAATAGTGCAGGGTGTAGACGGCAGGTAAATCAAAACATTTAATGGTGAAATATTTAGGCTGACACAGAACCCCCATTGTAGAATGACTGGAACGGTGGGAAACAATGGCTGCTTACCACGACGACGTCCACTGCGTGCCCAGCAGAATGAGCGCAGCAACGGTGACTTGTGTGCGAAGTAGTTTGTGATGAGACAGGCTCGCTCATCATCTACCGCACCCCCTCCTCTCTCACGCACCTTGCTCCGATAGCCAAACACTGTTGGCACGGACACAGTAATTGACAATCCTAGGCGGTCCGCCTACGCGTGTCCTGATATATAACGGACGGTTCAATCCTCACAAAGGATGATGATGATGATAATAGCAATTATTCCAAAAGCCCTGTCACCCCACGAAGAATTGATAATGTGAGCCCTAACTGAGGACAAATGCAACACTTTGGTTGAATATCAATACTTTTGGCGATCGTTAGCTGTAAACGGGGATCCTTGTGATATTGCTGACGAACACTGTGGACCAGAACACCCGGAAAATCGGTAGTAAATAAATCCGGCATCTCAAGGGCGTTATCGTATGCTGGCTGTGGAAGAAGCTAGTACTCGAGCTAATCGATCTCTCCGAATCGGTATCGACCGCAGATTTAGGGCCAAAGACCGACGGTTTCGGTTAGGTTGGGAATAGCTGAATGCCGCTCATCATGCCAGGAGCAGTTACTGTGGAACGCACTGCGTCGGTGAGATCAGGCAGAAGTCTGCAGACGGACAGATCAACTCCAGACATGCATAAATCATTGGACGTAGTGCATCTATGTCGAAAGACTGAAGTAATTACAGGTTTTTAATTTCAGAAGAGACAGTGGCGAGTGAACGTGCCTTTCGGTAAATTCTCATCAGGCCAATACAGTTACATAGGGCGGGGTACAGTGAGTGAAACAAAAATCGATAAAAGTTACAAACTAGGCAAGAGCGGAAGGGCGCAGAAAGCTGTATGTGGTTAGTCAACCTTTGACCACGGTAAGCGCGGAGCCTGAACAAGGTTCTTTAGGGTGCATAGGGTCGGTTTTCGTAATCTTATGGCGGCCGCTTCTGCCGTTGCTAACAGGCGCTGGCCCAGTAGCTTAGGGTAGCTCGAGGGGACCTTGTAAATCACACGAAATGCTTCAGTGGAGTCCACACAATGCCCTGTGTCCACTGCATGCGCAAGGATGGCGCTGTCTATTCTCCTAGTTTCACCCTTTGCCAACCATGCGGGAAGGTGCTCTCGTATGCTTTTGGAAAAGCGCCGACTCGTACGACCAATATAACCTGCTCCACAGGAGCAAGTGAATGAGTAGATGCACATTGAGGCTGTCTGAGGTGGCAGCCTATCGTTGCCTTCTCCGCATAGAATAGGGTTAGTAGAGAACCCTTGCTGCTGGGAAGGTTCCCGAGACAGCTTGGTCCAGGCGTCTTCTTAGGAGTTCACCTGCAGCGTCTCCTTGGAAGGGGACTTTGAGGAACAACGTTTTCTTTTCGGCGGTTAGTATGGTGGGTTTTGCGGAATTCCTAACTTGGAGTAAATCAGTCCACCTGCTAATTATAAGCTCAGAATGAAAGTTAATAGGAATATTCATGTCGAAGTCCATCAGCCACCGCGTAACGATCATAAACTATCAACGGCAGCCAGTAGTATGTTCATAGACCGCTCGATATACAGAGGGGACCCACTGAAGAGTCTAATCCCTCACAGCTGTGTCACGCAGAGGCAGAATGCCGGCGAAACACGCGTGTATGGGCTTTTAGCTAGTACGTGTGCTGTCAAGTGTGGTATATTGTGCAGCCTATGCACGTACTGAATTAAATGTTAGCTAGTGACATTTGTCAACAGCAGACTTCCGACAGGTGCCCATCACCAAGGCCACCCAACGGAAGATTAGGGCTGGTAACATTCAGACACGACAACGGCCACCAGTCCCGTTCAATAACTTCCACTTCCGTCTCCTCACCGTAGTTTAACATCCTTGCTCCTCTTCCACTTCTTGTCCCATCGGATGACCAGAAACCACTGGGAGGTGGGGTCTACCTATAAACCCGGCGCAGGTTATGCGGCTAGCTAGTGAGTGGCCGACAATGAGACAGCTGCCTTCTAAATAGTCGTGCTCTCAGGCATGATGAATAAGCATTCTTGCTTCATGTGGTGGTAGTACCTTCGGACGTGTCTAGACTCCAGCCTGGAAACCCACCTACTTGACAAAAGCCTGCATAGCACAGGGATATTAGGGCAAAGCGAGCGAAAACTCAGCCTGCCTTTTTGGACGGCCCGCAGGGTATGGTCCACACGCTCTCTTTGAATTTGTCTAAAGTCACTAGCTCGGCAGGAAAGATTTCTCGCCATTACACAGGACAGACCGGACGACGACTTAACTCACGAATAACTGAGCATAAACGGGCGGTCCGGAGAGGCGACCCGTTGTCTCAGGTCGCCACTCACACCCTGGAGGAAGGCCACGAATTCAACTTTGCGAGCACGCGGATAGTAGCGCGGGCCAGCAATAAGACAGGGCGAGAACTGTTGGAGGCCT